TAAACATGACGCTGTTACATGCCTGTACGGCGGATTTATTTTGCAAATCGAGCACATTTTTGCTTGCGGCTTCAGTGGCTACTGCAATTTTAAAAGCAGTCTCAAATGTCAGATTTGCTTCTGAGAGCAACCTTCTCTGAATCCGATCACATAGATCCAATCCGATCTATGCCACAAACAAGTCAATCCCTCAGCATTTGGTCTAAAGTTGCTCCATAAATACAATCTTGTGCTAAATGACGCAACACTGCTACATATTCTGTCACAGTCTCTGTCGGCTTCTTCGTTCTCGAATCATTTAAATCGCTGTACAATCTCACTTGGCTGAGGATTGAAATGATTTTTTAGCATTGTTACCAGTTGCTGATAAGTCTTTTCACTTGGTTTTGTTGGGCTAAGAAGATTTCGCATCACACTGTAAGTTTGTGGTCCCACAACACTTATGAGAATAGCTCTTTGCTTACCCTCATCTTCGATTCCATTAGCCACGGAAAATTGCTCCAGTATTTCAGAATACTCTTGTTTGAGCTTTTGCATCAAATGCTGCAAGGTAGCCAATAGTTCCTGTAGCCCACAACTAGTTATCAGAACCCTGCTCCTTTTCATATCCTCAATCTGTTGTCATCACAGGCTTCCTGCTTCATCCTCGTCGCCAAAAATGTAGTATTTTTCGCTATAAATCAGACTACTACATGAATAGAGTTGAAGTTAATACTTTACTTTGTTTTTGCTACAGACATACACATGCTTCCCGCATGGCACATCTTCTTCAACTGACTTTTTCAGGATAGAACACAACACTTTTAATACAATGACACCTAGTGGTTACTCCAGGATACTACATCTATTAACACAGCACCGCTATTTCTTCTGACCCCCGGTGAACACCGGCACCAACGCTAGCATAGTGCTGCACCTATTGCAGATGTGACCGCGGCGGGCCAGAATTACACCGAAAACCTGATTTACCTTACTTTTATCAATGTAGAACGTTAACGCAGCAGTAGAGTTACACTCACAGGACACTGCACTTATTCGAAATCACAAAAGTGTATTATTTGCTCGTGCTTTATAGCTTTGTTGGTTAGACATTTCATTGGTGTTCTGTTCTGACATTATGCACTTTTTCTGACCACATAGCCTAAGCCCGAAGCGCGTGCGCACTGTCAAACAGCGCCTGATAACTGGATTTTATCTTTTGCGTCTGAATATGCAAATATATGGGTGTTCTGTTTAGGTTAACATTATTGTTCAAAACTCAACAGTCCATTGGATGTCTATCAAACTAACATATTCCAACATATTTCGAAATTTTAACAAGCTTATTTGCGGAAATATACTTACAATTCAATTGTTCCAGTGGGCTCGCTGATTTCGCAAGGTATCCTGGGTAATTTCATCTCCCACTTCGTTTTAAGCAAGGGGGTAATCCATCAGCCGGAAACTGAAGCTTCCCTTGGGGGTCGCCATTGTAGCAGACCATCACCTGCTGTTAGCATTCCATTGACTCCCATTCATTTTGGCGTCACTTTGCAGCAAATAACTTTACATCTGAGGCGTCCAAAAACCATTTGTCCATTATTTATTTCTAAAGAAACATGACAATGTATAAAAGGCTCCATTAATTTGTATCTTACGTTGGCCCCATAGAAGCCATTTTGTAAAAATAGGCTAACGATTGCGTCATAACCACGCGACTCTCTGTCCCACAGTAGAGAAATTACCGTATAGACAGGAGGAGAAGCTCACGGGTAATCGGGGGGACGTGGAGGCATTTGGAGAAGCCCATAGAGAGTCATAAAGTTGCTCCTGCTGCGAGCTCATGGACAGCTCCTGATCACGCTCTCCATCTCTGCAATATTCGGAAGGGAATGATTCAGATTTCTCTTGGCACAGCTACTAGACGACTTACAACTGTGAGACAGGTTGCTCACGTCACATCTACGTCGTCAAGCTCAGTTTGAGTCTGCGCAGTCGCTCAGCCATCAGGAAGCGAGTGCTTCTAATTGGCTTCACTTTTCTCCATTGAAATCTATGGGGTCGCTGTGTCCATTTCTTTTACTGTTTATAGTTTTAAGCCTGCATCGGACCTCACTATGTTTTGAGGGTCGTTTTTAAGGGAAGAATAGCACTCACCCTTGCTAAGTTGCTCCCTAAAGTTTTGGGACACCCACGAGAACACGTGAAAATGGGGGTTAGGGCAAAAATCTAGGGGAAGGGGAGGTATTGGGACAGGCCCTAAGTCCACTTTTTTTTATCCCCTTCCCTCGCTAACTTCCCTCCATCTCTTTCACTCGGATGTACGTCATTGCTTACGTTGCACGAGTGCTCACTACTGGCGGAACCCTTGCAATGTGTTTAAATTGAAAGCCATTGATCACTTGGAATCTGCTATGGAGTTGATTTATTCTTTAGTTTTTTCTTCTTATGAATTAGTTTTACGCACCATTCTATAGGTCTGTATGTATTTGGGCTGTTGGAGAAAATATAACAAAAAATACACAAACGAAAATGATAATAAAAACAGTCACAGTCAGCTTAAGGTAGCTACAAGTATTTTGCGCTTAAATGTGGTGTGAGGGTTAATTAAGCACAAGCTGCTGTGACGCCACACAATTATGTTGCATTGCAGACTATGGATCTGAATGAAGTGTACATATTGAGTCGACTCGCTCTATCAATAAAAAACGAGGGGTCGAGGATCTGTCCAAATAAACTTCCCTAGCCAACTTGACAAAGTTGAACGCACTTTCTTAGGGAAGTTCACGAGTGAATCTCTAAAAGTGCAATGCAGTTAAACACAGCCTTTATAAGTGAGTCATTGGATCATTCATTAGACCGATTAATTCGGTGATGAAACATCACTGTGTTACTCAAAGACGTGGCGCTACTGTGGATTTGTTTGGGGCTGTTTTTGTTGGCAAAATAGAGCAAAAACAGACAATATTCTGAGTCTAAAATGTGAGTCACTTAATATCAGCTTTTTTTATTGAGCTGTTGTCTAAATTTGCAAACGTACTGATATTCGGGAAAACATCACTCTTGCTCGCATGGTATTGCTTAAATATTATCAACAAGAACTCATAGGAAACTCAAGGGATTTTTTTTTTTTGCCCCATATCTTAAAATTTAAGGGTTTTTAAATTCATTTTGGTGGCAGGGGGCAGACTCTTTTTTTTTCGAACTCAAGCTGAGCATATGTTGCGAGGCCCGTTTCAAGTGAATAGCATAGGCCTGAGCAGGACATACCGACAGTCAGAAAGTGTATTGGCCTCCAGTGTCACAAATAGACTCAACAAAACTAAGAAACAAGTTTTACATCCGCACACTCAGGTTTATATCCTCATAAAATCTGTTACAAAGTTTATTGAAGATGTTATTTCTGTTTTCTTGAGCTAAATATTAAGCAAACAATTAGAGATGCACCGATTGATCGGCTGGTGACCGGAATCGGCCGGTTTTCACGTGATCGGCCATGATCGGCGACCGGCCGGTCAGTCTGACATAATCCGATTTTATGCCGGTCAAATGCACTCGGGCGCCGCATGATTAACATCGCGCAACATCAGCATCACACGTGCACACGGAACGCGTACATGTAGGAAACCTCGTGAATTACGGCCGTTTCACACCGCAAGCGGGAGCAGCGCGTTTTTTTTTTTTTTTTTTGCCGTGCATGTTAATCAATGAGTGCATTCACACTGGGAGCCGGAGAAGCGCGTGAGCGTCGATCAGGAGCGGCGCGTGAGCAACAGTGAAGCGCGGGTTTCGGCGCAGCAGAGTATTTTTGCTGCACTCCATTTAAGTGAAAGCACACTTTTGATGGACAAAATAAATATGATTTCATCCAAAAAGTGCCCAAAATGCACAGAATTTGCATGTCTGGTGTGTTAACAAGAACTAAAGTAGGCTAGGCTATGTCAGAAAGAAAATGAAGACTCAAAAATATTTATAGAAAATTTACCCATTAAAACTTGTTTTTATTATTTCCCAATCATTTCCCTGCACATACTCCACTTGTCCTGTTTAGCTTGGCTGGACATGTGTCAGATGAGAGAAGAACTGTGTGAGAAATATAACTTGCCAACTTGCCATTGATGTACAAGTAATTGCAATAGGCCTGTGTGTGTGTGTGTGTGTGTGTGTGTGTGTGTGTGTGTGTGTGTGTGTGTGTGTGTGTGTGTGTGTGTGTGTGTGTGTGTGTGTGTGTGTGTGTGTGAGAGAGAGAGAGAAATATCTTTATACTGCAAGGCTATATTTATTTTATTTTTATTTGTTATTTATATATTATTTTATTGCCATTACCTGTTTTCATACAGAAGTTTAGTTTGCTAAATATAATTTTTTTTTAGTTGGATATTGGATGTGAAAAGGAAATGGTTCTTCCATAACACTGCACTTTAGATGTGTGTGAATTCCCCACACCAGGAGTAATTTATATAGTTCTATTTTATAGCAATTATCTGTTAAAAAAAAAGTTATATGCAAAATGTTCTATTAAAGAGAAGATAGAAAATAAATATTTGTGTGTGCTGTAAAGTGGTTTGAAAAAATGAAATCGGAATCGGCTAAAATCGGTATCGGCAGGTCAAACTCAAGGAAAAATCGGAATCGGGATCGGCCTAGAAAATTGTAATCGGTGCATCTCTACAAACAATATAACGTGATGCCTTAACTAATGGCAAATGAAGTCACAAACCAAATGATTGCAAAATTTTGTTTCTTGGAAAATTTGAGCAGAGCGTATGATTTTGCTGAACTCTCTTATATATGAGATTCAACTTGATTTTTTAAGTCAGTTTAATATAATTTAAGTTGAAATGACTTGGACAGGCCAATTTGATTATGCTTAAAAAATTGATGTAGCAACTGACTTTTAAGTTAATCTGAAGAAGGTGGAAATCTTATAGTGTACATCACTTCAGTGATTTACATTTCCTATGGTATCTGTTGCATGTCTCGTCTGTCATTACGGGTTTAAGCTGAAAGGTTACTTCAGATGTAAAGATCAACAAAGCCACTTGAGCTTCCTCTGTGTATATGAGATGAAAGGATCTAGAGGCGGAGGTTTGAGGGAGGATGTATGTCGACAACAGAACAATCATGCTGCTCTTTTTAATACACTGATTAGATACAGTTCATTCTTCTAACTTGGTTATTTTAGGTGATCTAAGGAACATTTCACATCACAATCATCACATGATGATACGCACGTCTTGAGAAAACAGCAACTGCTTCATGTGACATGAATGTACAAAGTTCATGAAATTCCAGTTAATTGTATACTAGAGATTGTTGTGGTCATCTGCAGCGGTCGGTTATGTGCTGTTCTGATCATCATTGTGCACTACAAGGTCCATATCATCAAGAATTCAGGTAAGTCATACGTCGTTTAGAATTTGACTAGGTTACTCAAGTTAAACTGACTTGTATAACTTCTCTTTTTCCCCTTATGAAAATGCAGAGATTGCATTAATGACTCTTCATACATATCATCTACTGTAAAAAAAGAAAAAAAATCAGTGTGACGCCATTTCTTTGTAATTATTTCTTAAATTTACATGAAATTTCTTCAGTAAAAATTGTTTCAAAGAATGTTTTATTTATTTTTTTGCATACAACGGGCAAATTTTTTTTTACCTTGACAAATTGGATCTTGTCAGTTTGTGATTGCAGAACGAACATGACTGATGAGAATACAACGGACCCTGACTACTATGACTTGTACTATGAAGACCAGATGTGTAAGAAAGATGAAGTGGTGAAAGTTGGATCCATTATCATTCCGCTCTTCTTCTCATTAGTGGTTGTGTTAAGCTGCATTGGTAACATCCTTGTTCTGGTCATTCTGGCGCTCTACAAGAACATCAAATCCCTGACCAACGTGTTCATCCTCAATTTGGCTCTATCAAATCTGCTGTTCACTTTTGGACTTCCATTCTGGGCCTCGTACTTCATCTGGGGTTGGACGTTTGGAGAGATTGGCTGTAAAGCGGTGAAGTTTCTGTTCTATGTTGGCTTTTACAGCAGCGTGTTGTTCTTAACTCTCATGACCATTCAGCGTTACATGGCAGTGGTTCATCCTCTGTCTGACTGGGAGAAATGCAGAGGCTTTTCAGTCGCTCCCTTTATCGTTTGGATCCTGAGCGGAGCAGTTTCACTACTCGGATCATTTAATAGCAAAGTTATACCACATTTTAATAGTACATACTGTGAATATGACAGTGTTGAAATTAAATCTGGCATTGCTTATTTTCAAAATGCTTTCTTCTGCATTGCATTTCTAATCATGGGTTTTTGCTATGGCAGAATGCTTTGGACAATAACAAAAAAACAGGCCAAAAAGAGACACAAGACTGTTAGACTAACATTTGTTATTGTGCTCGTGTTTTTTATTGGTTGGGCTCCATATAACATTGTTATGTTCTTAAAATCTTTGACCGATCAGAATATCCATCCATTCACAGTCTGTACAGTAAGCATTAGACTCGACTATGCATATTATGCTTGCCGAATGTTAGCTTTTACACACTGTTGCTTAAACCCAGCCTTTTTATTTTTTGTAGATGCAAGGTTCCGTAATAACTTGCGAGCAACTCAAAGGAGGGTCTTATGTAAAGATTTAAGTCTTTGTTTTACTTGGCAAGATACTTGAGTCGTCAGAAAACAAGCATTATTGAAGAATCTGGCTGCAGATTGGATCATCATCATTATCGTTATGAAACATTAAACAGTGCTGTTTTTGTGTAAAAGCAAGTTTTGAGTTTATGCCAGCTTGAAAACACAAAAGAAAAATATGTTCTGAATAAAGTGTTTATGAATTTCTCAATTCCTCCCACGTGAAATTACTGTAAAAGGAACCGCATGAGAACTGTCTGTGAAAATGCAGATTACGCAGTTTAGTTTTTGTGCAATGAAATTAGCAAACTGTAGTTGTGACTGGAAAGTGACATTTTCTTCTTTCATGTGACAAAGTGTAAATGTGGTCTGTGGAAGGAAGCACAGCATCATCATTGACCTACATAAACAGGAAAATGGAAGATTTGAGACCATAAACTCATTTTTTATGCATTTACTTTTTTATGTTAATAACAAAACAATATTGCAGCCTATACGCTTTACATGAGATCCCTGCGACCATCATCTTCATAAAAACAACATACTTCTACAACTTTTTAAATGAACATAATCATGACATAAATGCATGGTTTGAAAAACACTTACAAAAAAGCAGCTGACAGGCATTTTTATCTTCGATTTACTGACATTAATCATGCAAATTCAGTCCTGCTGTTGATTCAAAAGCAAGAGCAAGAACTATGCAGCCTTTGAATTATGCCGTTTACTTCTCAACATAAAGTGAATAGTAATACGAACACCATTATAAACCAACAGTTTCGAAACGCCCATTAACTGGCAACTACCCTAAAATCTGTTACTAAGGAATTGCTGCAACACACAAAAAAACATTTAACTTTCGTTGTGAAAGTGATACTTTCATTTCATGTTTGAGGTAACGAGGAACGGCTGAGTTTTTAGACACATTTAATCCTCCCATTCATCATAATAACGCTCAAATATCAGTAGCCAGGAGTCACAAAATTAAGGTAAGAACTATTATTATAATAAGATAAGATTATTCTTTATTCTATCTTGTATCTTTTAAATTAGGCAAGTATACAACTACAATGAATTCTAACAACAAAATTAACATTATCATACAGAGAACATCATGACTGAAGACTAGGTTTCTAGCAGCTAGCGATCGATCTCTATTGTAAATGATCAAGCAAACTCACAGGGCGACAGTTTGTGTGAATGATTGTTTTTACCAACTGTTTGTTATGAATTTGAATGTACATTTATAGCCTACTGACAACTTTGATTAAATTTGATTACGACGGAGTCGTTATTTGTGCTCACTGGAAAAAGCAAGGATCTGTTGGTTTGATCAATGGTATATTATTTTATTACATACACTTTCAGCTTCATGAACAGGCAGCTCAACATAGAAATCATCCAACCTTATTTGAATAAAACTAGGCCCCTATATACAATTATACAGCGTTTTACGTTGGAATAAGCCTCGCCCTTTCAAGGACGGCAACTTCTCTGCTTAATTGATTAGCGCAGTATATTTACAGCTGTCTGTCTGGGCTGACATAAAATAAACAGCTCAAACATCCCCTCAACTTAAATTATTAACAAAAGCAAAGAAGAAAACGTGTCTGACTGACACTGAACCTTACTTATCATAAATACAATGATGGGCGTTATTTCAGCACCGTGGACAGCTGAGCTCACCGGGCGGCGGGCATAGCCTAGATCTCACCCATTTCACCTGAGCCCTTTTCAGAAATCCACCCTTCTGTGTATGAGTGCTGAGAATGCCCTGATAAGTTCATCTTTGTCGGCAACTTAAAGGCAAAAAGGGCAAAGGTATAAACAAATAATTATACTTCAGATCACTTAAGCCGTTCGCGGGGCGGTAAACGTCGCCATGGTAACCGTGAGTTCGACAAATCAGAGACGTCAGTGTTATGCTTTGGATTGTGGGTAGTGTAGTATTTCTCCAGAAGATCGCAAATAAAACACGTTTTTCTTAAAGTAACACTATGTAGTTTTTCAACCTTCATAATATATTTCCAAGACCCTTGTGATGGTACATCGACTTACAATAGGTTAAATGACACGTCTGCCATAGCCTGACGTGGTCTGTATCGCTTTTACTCGCACTATGTAACTTCGGGTTTCTTTCGGGTAGTAACCCGAGCACAAAAAGAACTACAAAAATGCACCTGAGACCCGCAGTGACAGCTGCTGTCAGACTCGCTAGATGTTGAATTGTCTGTGGACACAGGGCCAGAGCCATATTCGAGCCGCTGGCTCAAACTGCGGTCTAAACTCCCGCATCGCGATCGGCATCCGACGATGCTAGCGAAAATATTTTTTTTCCAGGATTATTATTACTATTACATTCAGTATATTTTGCTGCTATGTGGAAAAAAATATCCAGCAAATCGCGCCGGCGCGTTTGTCAACACCAGAGGGTTAACTTTAGTCTAATAAGAAGGAACCTAAATTGTGATTAAAAATATATGCTCATTATGACGCCGCTGCGGTGGTGGAGTCCATGCAGGAAGAGCAGCGTTTGCCATTGAGTCGCTTCTCAGCGCAAGCTGTGTGGAGAAGCCCATTTCCACCTCCATTGCGTTGGAGAAGCAATCCCGCGTAAAATGCAGGTTGCACACAGCGATAGACGGGAACTCACGGTCTTCCAGGCCAAGTGCATGCAAACACTGGCGCCTAATTTCCAAGTCTAGTGGAAAGTTATGCAGTCCAGCAGTGCTGTTGCAACCAGCAACACTACGCCTACGTACCTTCCTAACCACTGTACTAAATACAGATAAAGCTAATGCTAAAAATCTATGCTAATATACGCTATCTTGATTGTTTTCAATACTCGTAATTCCAACTCCTGACTCGCTACAGTAGTTTAAGTTTTGACGGATGCTTTTATAGCAGGGGCTGCCAAGGGCGTGGTGAGCTCGCACCAAGGGCGTGACAGAGTGACGTCACAGAATACCCCTACTTCAGGAGCTTTCCGTTTAACCTGAAGAGGGCAGCACTCAGACGGTTTTACACCATATATTTGAAAATTAAAACACTTTACACCCAAATGTCAAAAAATTTACTGGAATCAATGAACAGCATTTATGAAGCTCCATTCTTACAGATCATTAACTAAAAAAAAGTTGTTTTAGTGTTTAGTTACCATTTAAGCGAGAAAGTGCTGTTCGTCGTAAATGTGCTTTTTAAAACTAAAACAGACTAATTATAAATATATAAAGATTAATTATAATATATTTTATAAATAATCTGTTATATATATATATATATTATTTTAGTTGATTATAATATAATATAATGTTTGTGAAATTTGAGTGAAAATTGTTTCTGTACTATTTTTGTCTTAAAAAAAAGAGGAAGTCTCCCCATCCAGCAGGGACGTGCGGTCAGGGTAGGCAGTGCCTCACCAAAGGAAATGCTGACATTACATTTATTAATCCCAAGAGCTTTATTAATTCACCACATTATTAATTGCATTTATTTTATTCCAAATATTAATTTTTGTAACAAAAATAATCAGAAATACTTATATAATACTCCTTTTGCCATAGTTTGCTCCTAAAAACCATTGTTTCATGCAGGAAATTCAAGGCCATGGTCATTGAGGCAGAGGTTCGCAGTGCCTCTTTGGTCCATAGAACATAGTTTACGGAGGTTTGCGCATGCGCAGTCAGTTCTCATGCTGTTTTGAATTATCAACATTGAGGCAGAGACCGAGACTGCTTCATATCACGTGATCCACTCGCTCTCACTCAATCCGCGATTCTGACTTTGCTCTGTATGCAGGCAGCGATGTGATGATGCCTGATATTAACTTGGGTTGCTAAATTACCTGAATGAATATACAGTGGCTTAACTTTGTTTTAAAAAGTGGGTGGGACAGGTGTATGTGTGTGCGCGTATGTGTGTATAAATGAATGAATCCCGTGAATAAATATATTTGACGTGAGTCCTTTAGTGGTCCAGTGGTAGAACTTTTGCCGAGCATGTCAGAGGTTCGGGGTTCTAATCCGCACTCGTATAGTTTTTTTTTTTTTTTCATCAAAACCGAATATGTTAATCAGTGGTTGTATTATATTAAGCAGGGACACGTTTGTGTACATTTTTGTTTTGTGATTTCACCGAAACGAACAAAAAGTCTCCGCGCGTGCATGTGAAGACTGCGTGAGCCACGAGATATACACTGTAACCGCGCTACCGATCACAGCGGCAAATTACGCCCCTGTGAATATGCCACATTGATAGGTCACAGCCTACCCATGACAAGACTTCACCGCACGTTACTGCCATCCAGTAACCTATAAATTCAGAAAAGGTAAACACCTCTTCCACATTTGATCTGCTCAGCTGTCTTGACGATATACTCAACACAAAAAATAAAGGAATAAAGGGGACAATGCTTTTATTTCCTATCAAATAAGTTTGATTCCATTTAGTTGGAGAAGAGACAGAAAGAGCAGGTAAGGACTAAATGTCAGGCTGTATTTAGTATTTTCTCACTGGAATAAATTTAGCTAAACTGATTCATGTGATTCTTGTGTTCTTTTGTCCTAATGAAAAGACATGAATATTTTATTAATGTTTGAGTGTATTTTCCTCAGAAAACAGTTAAGAACTGAACCTGGAAACCTGGAAGTTTCTGATGTTGCAGAACAACATGACTGAAGAGGAAACAATGGCCCCTGACTACTATGATGTCATCTACGGAGACGAGATATGTCGCAAAGATGAAGTAGTGAAAGTTGGATCCATTATTATTCCAGTCTTTTTCTCAGTAGTGGTTGTGTTAAGCTGCATTGGTAACATCCTTGTTCTGGTCATTCTGGCACTTTATGAGAGTCTCAAATCTCTGACCAACGTGTTCATCCTCAATTTGGCTCTGTCAGATCTGCTGTTCACTTTTGGACTTCCATTCTGGGCCTCGTACTTCATCTGGGGTTGGACGTTTGGAGAGATTGGCTGTAAAGCGGTGAAGTTTCTGTTCTATGTTGGCTTTTACAGCAGTGTGTTGTTCTTAACTCTCATGACCATTCAGCGTTACATGGCAGTGGTTCATCCTCTGTCTGACTGGGAGAAATGCAGAGGCTTTTCAGTCGCTCCCTTTATCGTTTGGATCCTGAGCGGAGCGGTTTCACTGCTCGGATCATTTAATAGCAAGGTTATACCACATTTAAATAATACATACTGTGAATATGACAGTGTTGAAATTAAATCTGGCATTGCTTATTTTCAAAATGCTTTTTTCTTCTTTGCATTTCTAATCATGGGTTTTTGCTATGGCAGAATGCTTCAGACAATAACAAAATCTAGGACCAATAAGAAACACAAGACCGTTAGACTAATATTCTGCATTGCACTGGTGTTTTTTATTGGTTGGGCTCCATATAACATTGTTATGTTCTTAAAATCTTTGACCGATCAGAAAATCCAAGCATTCACAGTCTGTGCAGTAAGCATTAGACTCGACTATGCATATTATGCTTGCAGAATGTTAGCATTTACACACTGTTGCTTGAACCCTGTGCTTTATGTTTTTATTGGCGTAAAGTTCAGGAATCATCTAAAATTTATTCTGCAGAAGATCTTTAAAAAAAAAAAAAAACTCGATTCCAGTCAAGCCAGATTGGCAAAAAATGTATCGCAGGGTTCAATGTACTAAGAGAAAACTCAAGTACTTTTAGCCAATGGTATAAAGCAACAATGAGTTCTAAGATGCTGTGAATGTGTGAATGATGTACATGCACTCTTAAAAATAAAGTTTCCAACATGAGATGCCATTGCGCAGATGCCATAGAAGAACCACTTCCGGTTCCCCAAAATACGTGATCAGACTTACAAGAACCTATTTCTCTTAGTGTGAAGAATATTTTAGTAACAAAGAAACTTTTTCTATTAAAAAGAACCTTTCAATGGAAAGGTTCCATTGATGTTAAAAGTTATTCATGGAACCGATAAAAAAACTTAATTTTTTAAGAGTGTAAAGATTTATTGCACAGCTACTGCCAATATCATGACAACTGTTTAATATGCACGAAAAATTCCTCTTTCTATCAAGCAGCAAAAGCATTAAGTTTTGAGAAAATCATGTTTTAAATTCTGTTCTTCTTCATTCAAGGTCTTATAAAAATATAACTGGAAATACGTAATTGAAGAACCAATGACAAATGTTCAATTTTCCTTCAAGTGTCGTCATTAAAGCAGAAATTATTTTCATATGAAATTAACTTATATCTATATTTTATTTACTGTATGTGTTTACATCATTTTTTTACTGTGTGTTTACATTACATAATTTCTTTAATGTTTTTTTCACTGCTTGTATGGTATAAATTAAATGAATAATGTACAGTAAAAGTACAAAATGAGCATAAAGCATGAGTCCAGTTTGTGAATCTTTGTTGCATCTGCCCCTCACTCTTAAAAATAAAGGTCCTTTATTGGCATTTAGTTACATGAAACCTTTCCATTACACATTCTTTATAATGGAAAAAGGTTTTTTTGTTGTTCTTGGACTGTGAAAAAATGGTCCAAAACAGTTCACTGAAAGGTTCTTTGAGGAACCAAAACTGGTCTTCTATGGCTAAAACATTTTGGAACCTTTATATTAAAGAGTGTGGTCAGTTACAAAAAAATATTTTCAACAGTTTCAATATGGACACTTGTTATTTATCAGTGGAACGAACCATTTTCACTTGTAGCAGAACAAATTGACAGTCAGAAAGTGAATTACTGTCAAATTATGCACAGCAAAAAATATGCAGCAAGTTTCACATCCACAGTCAGGTTCATTACCTCAAATTCTGTTTATTAAACATGTTTTTCTCTTCTCCAGCAAAGAAATAATAGGAACAATATGTCTAAAATGTAAGATAAAGCATGGTGTGAGTTTCACGGGTTGGTTCCACAATGAGACGAGTAGTGAAACTGTTACCAGCAGTCTTACTTTATTAATCTAAATAAAAGTAAAACAAAACACTCTGGCACAGAAGAACGAAAAGCAACATAAACCAACCTTAACATTGAAGACAGACAAACAACTGAACAGAGGGTTTAAATACAAAGACCAAAAAAAGGAGCTAAATGAGAGACAGGTGAACACAATGGGTTGCTAAGAAAACAAATGATCATACATTAGGAAACTGTTAAGTTTTAGTGTTCCATGTCCCTGTTTAGTTTAAACATAGGGACAAGGAACACTAAAACTAAACCAAAAATAAAACATAAACGTCCCAATTACTCCCCCTCACAAAAGGTGCCTCCTGATGCCGTAAACCGAAACAAGTACAATGTATTGTTGGCAGGAACATAGGAACTTAGGCAGGAGGAAGAGTACATGTGGGAATGGGAGGAAGAGTCCATGAGGGAATGGAAGAAAGAGTCTACAGGGGAATGGGAGGAAGAGTACACGGGGGAATGGAAGAAAGCGTCCATGGGGGAATGGGAGAAAGAGTCCATGAGGGAATGGAAGGAAGAGTCCACGGGGGAATGGGAGGAATGGTCCATAAGGGAATGGGATAAAGAGTACACGGGGGAATGGGAGGAAGACTCCATGATGGAATGGAAGGAAGAGTCTACGGGAGTATAGGAGGAAGAGTACACGGGGGAATGGGAGGAAGAGTACACGGGGGAATGGGAGGAAGAGTACACAGGGGAATGGGAGAAAGAGTACACGGGGGAATGGGAGGAAGAGTCCATGAGGGAATGGAAGGAAGAGTACATGGGGCAATGGGAGGAAGACTCCATGAGGGAATGGAAGGAAGAGTACACAGGGGAATGGGAGGAAAATTACACGGGGGAATGGAAGGAGGAGTACACGAGGAAATGGGAGGAAGACTCCATGATGGAATGGAAGGAAGAATCTACGGGGGAATGGGAGGAATAGTACAAGGGGGAATGGAAGGAAGAGTACATGGGGGAATGGGAGGAAAACTCCATGATGGAATGGAAGGAAGAGTCTACGGGGGAATGGGAGGAATGGTCCATGAGGGAATGGAAGGAAGAGTACACGGGGGAATGGGAGGAAGAGTACACGAGGGAATGGTAGAAAGAGTACACAGGGGAATGGGAGGAAGAGTCCATGGGGGAATGGGAGGAAGAGTACATGGGGGAATGGGAGGAAGAGTACATGGGGCAATGGGAGGAAGAGTACATGGGGCAATGGGAGGAAGAGTACATGGGGCAATGGGAGGAAGAGTACATGGGGCAATGGAAGGAAGAGTACAAAGGGGAATGGGAGAAATAGTACACAGGGGAATGGGAGGAAAAGTACACGGGGGAATGGAAGGAAGAGTACACGGGGGAATGGGAGGAAGACTCCATGAGGGAATGGAAGGAAGAGTCTACGGGGGAATGGGAGGAAGAGTACACGGTAGGGCTGTGAATCTTTGGGTAGGCAGCGAATCGATTTGATTCACGATTCATAGGTTTTCGATTCGATTCAAGAACGATTTTTGCAAATTCAGAAAGATTCGATTCAATGCGATTCACATTAAAATTCGATGCGATTCGATTAATTCGATTCGATTCTTAATCTTTTATACGCATTCATAGGATTATTTAAATGCTTCCCCCAATGGGTCTTAGTCAGGGTGTGAATTATACAGCTGCCTTCGGGGGTCAGAGAGTAAAAAAAAAAAAAAAAAAAAAAAAAAAAAAAAAACGACATTTTGTCTATTGTTAACTTTAGTCCATGTTAGTTTTTAATGAATCTATTATTATAAAAAATATTTCCAAAGCCTATAAATTAGCATTTGTAAAAATCTAAACCAAGATTTAAAAAGGCTTTAAAAGTATAGTTAGTTCATCATGCAAACTATTTTGTAGGAATGGATACACAACCTTAAAGTGTTCCTGGTACATTAACCATCCTCCATTGTGAGACTAAAAATACCATGAACTTTCCCAACTAAACCTTAACTAACGTTTCCTCATGGAATAGCTACTCTTTGTTCTCTTTATCCGACTGAACATTGTCCTTGTGATTCTGAAAGAAAACGCGCCGGCTGTCTACTTGTGCTATATTAACGATTACGAATGCAACTTTAATGCGCATCTGATTGATGGATAAACCACGCGCTCTTATTTCAGTGTAATTAATGTTGTAGTTATTTCATCAGTTCAGTTTAACGACATTAAGTTACATTTCATTCATCATTCATGATTAATCGGAAGCGTGTGCATTTTAGACACCTATTATACGTTTTCTCTTTCCATGTAATAAATGCTCAGGACGGGTATGACCCATTTCCGTAAAACTTCAGTAGCCTATCTTATCTTAAAGAAAATAACGGTGACGTTTCCACGCAACGAACGCGTTGTTTCATAGCAGTGACCGCGCAATGACAGCTTTATCAATGGCTTGCTTTCTCGATAGAGAGCTGTCATCTGCTCATGTGAACACCAATGGCTGTCCTGAGGAGAGCTCAAACATGGACTGCTCAAAAATCTGTAGATGAGAGCTATATGGGACCGAGCGCGAGCGAAATCCAGTGAATGATGGTAAGAGTGCAGCGAGTATGTGAGAGCTGTGAGGACGCGAAATGACGCAGCACAACGCCTCATTAATTCGCGCATGTAGTCATTTAATGTTTATATGTTTTAAAGCACTGAATCGATATAGAATCGCAAATTATTCGATTCTTAGCATTTTAAATCGAATATTGACCGAAATAAACGATTCACGATTCGAAATACATGTTTCAAGATCGATGCATATGCATCGTCAGGATTTGTAATCGATCCATCGAGAAAACGAATGAATCGTTACACCCCTAGTACATGGGGGAATGGGAGGAAGAGTACACGGGGGAATGGGAGGAAGAGTCCATGAGGGAATGGAAGGAAGAATACACGGGGGAATGGGAGGAAGAGTGTATGGGGCAATGGGAGAAAGAGTACACAGGGGAATGGGAGGAAGAGTCCATGAGGGAATGGAAGGAAGAGTACATGGGAGGAAGATTACACGGGGGAATGGAAGGAAGAGTACACGGGGGAATGGGAGGAAGAGTACACGGGGGAATGGGAGGAAGAGTACATGGGGGAATGGGAGGAAGAGTACATGGGGCAATGGGAGGAAGAGTCCATGAGGGAATGCAAGGAAGAGTACACAGGGGAATGGAAGGAAGAGTACATGGGGGAATGGGAGGAAGAGTCCATGAGGGAATGGAAGGAAGAGTACATGGGGGAATGGAAGGAAGAGTACATGGGGGAATGGAAGGAAGAGTACATGGGGGAATGGGAGAAAGAGTACATGGGGGAATGGGAGGAAGAGTCCATGAGGGAATGGAAGGAAGAGTCCATGAGGGAATGGAAGGAAGAGTCCATGGGGGAATGGGAGGAAGAGTCCATGAGGGAATGGAAGGAAGAGTCCATGAGGGAATGGAAGGAAGAGTCCATGGGGGAATGGAAGGAAGAGTACATGGGGGAATGGGAGGAAGAGTACATGAGGGAATGGGAGGAAGAGTACATGGGGGAATGGGAGGAAGAGTACATGGGGGAATGGGAGGAAGAGTACATGGGGGAATGGAAGGAAGAGTACATGGGGGAATTGAAGGAAGAGTCCATGGGGGAATGGGAGGAAGAGTACATGGGGGAATGGGAGGAAGAGTACATGGGGGAATGGGAGGAAGAGTACACGAGGGGATGGGAGAAACAGTCCATGGAGCAAAAAAGGTGGAGAAGGGGGCAGACCAGGGCGGAGCCAGTGGGATTGAGGACAATGGTGGAGCCTGAGGGAATAGCATATAGTCATATAAGGTGTGTTCGACATCGGCTGGATGTAACCGATCGGCAAGAGTTGCCGCGTGCAGGCGGGGAGGAGCTGCAAACGGAGACGTGAAGTCGGACACTTTCTGGTTCCCGTAGTGACCGCTCACGTGGTGTTTGCATACTTTACCACTGCTGAAGTGAAATAAATGCAATATTTGCCAAATACACAGATATTTCAGACACATTTTCATTCAATACTTTACTGCTTCATACAGCATCTGTTTGAACAAGAATAAAGTTCAAAATAAGCCTATATCAATGAAGTGGAGTCAACGTTTTTTAATCAGTTTTATTTTGATAAACATGACACAATATAACATCGCGACTACATGAAAAGACTGTTTACTGTTGTAAAAAAACTGATTCGTGAGGTTCAGTGGAACTAAAGGTGTGAGAATAAACACGAAACGCACGTGATCGTTGTCATGCGGTGAATCGTGGAACAGATGTGACGACATCAGAGC